TTCTGACTCATGGTGAACCTAGTGTCAAGGGCAGAACTCATCTACAGCACTTGTAAATGTATGAGCTTTCTGAAGCAAAGCCAGGTCAATCTTCTGAGGTATCTCTGGGGGGGGGGGGGTTAGAACTATATAACTTTCAGTTAGTACTTACCTGTTTGTACTATCCTGACTCTAAGGCACACTTATTTTAACATACATATTCAAGTAGTGAGTATATCTCTATTTTCATCTAATACACCTCAGACCCACATTTTGTTTTGTAGAAGTCTTGTAATTTTAGTAACTTTTTACTGGACTGTTTTGGTACTGATCTGTAAAAATGCTGTCATGGTTACATTTACAGCATGCACAGTCTGTACCAGTTACACTGCAAGGACATCATGTACAGTAACTCATTTCCTTATTCCTTACAACTTAAGAATTACTCCCATCTTACAAACGAGGAAGCAGAAGCCCAAAAGGCTAGGCAAACTGCACAGAGTCATAAAACGAACACTAAAAACATGAATCCAGGGAATAATATTAAGTCAGCATTAAGCATTGAGTGAGACCGTCTCGGCTAACATGCCTTCTCAGGCACTGTGTTTTTTCAAACTAAAATGGAAAAATCCTATTAGACAACTATTTAAGGTCTCTCTGGTGGTTCATATCCACCAGCAGTTCCAAGGGAGGAAAAAACCAGACAATCTCCTCTTGTGTAATATACAGCCTCAGAAACTCAACGGAAGGGCCAGAGATGAGCTGGTTTTGACTTGATGGTAATGAGGTGAATTCATTTAAGGTCTTAGATAAAAGGAGACAGAATTACTGCAGGCAAGGAAATGGCCTTATTTTCAGACATACATGTTTAACTCCTCAACTAAGACAACATCAATTTATATCTGAAATTAATAAATTAACACAAACCTAATATTAAAAAGTATAGCAACAGACACTAGATGAAAATCTAAAATAAAAGTAGTTTTTTCATGAGAACAGAAGTAGGCAGAAGAAAATACATCTATGAACCCTCTCTGGGGCACTTTTAGTACATTTTAAAATCAAGTGTTCATTACTTTGATAAAAATAAAAGTTGGTTTTTACAAAGTACATGATATTGCCTCTTTTTTATCATTCACAGGAATAGAAAAATGAAAGAGACTGTAGATTTCTTCCATTGGCAAGTGTATGTGAGAGAAATAGCACTCACACATATAATCTTGGTACGAATGCAAATTCATGCCACCTGTGGAATGAAATTTGGCAATATTTATAAAAACATAAGTCTTTCAACCAGGTAATTTCATTTCTTGGACGCGATCTCTCAAATATTTACGCAAGTAAAAAAGTGTATGGAAAACAATGTTTTTTTTTTTGTAGTTATAATGGGATAATGAAAACTAAAGAGGATCGAATTATCAACAGGGGAATAACTAAGTCAACTGCTCAGTAATTGATAACGTTGTTGTTGTCAAGTGCCATCAAGTCGCAGGTGACTCACAGCGACCCTATAAAGGAGAGTCCCCGATGCTTGGGTGCCTTTCATCCTCTCTCCAGGTTCACAGGGTTTCCGGAGGCAAGCTATTATAGAAGTGGATGCCACTCCTCCTTCCAACAGTAATTGATAATAGCTGTATCTAAATGTACATTCAGAAAGGGCCCAGAAAGAACAGCTAAACTACTAATGTGAAAAGCAGGTAAGAGGATGATTTTTAACTTTATCTTCCCATTTTCTTAAAAGTAAACATATGCTGCTTTAAGATGAACAGTCCCAAAAAAACCTGACAAACATGTATTGACATAATCAAACAAAAGTTCTAGTGGAACTGTAAATTCCACTAGGAGAAAATCTAGAGAGAATAACTGAGATAAAATATGTAGATACCCTATTATGATCGGAGAGTTAGTGGGCATCAGAGAGCTGTTCAGCTTTGGTTGACTTTTTCTTCATTCCACCATCAAGATGCAAACAGCATAATACAATCAAGGGGAGACTGGAAAATAACAACAAAAGCAAAACAAAACACAATAAAGGAAGGAGAAATACCATTCTAAGTACCTGACAGTGAGAGGGAAGCTATTTTTTGTTAATTAGAGAAAACACAAATTTCTACTTTTTTGGGTTCAAGTTCTGGTTCTACAACTAACGTTAACAATTCTTCTAAATAAAAAAAACCCTGCTTATCATATTAGACAACTATGTTAAACAAGTAATCCACTTGAATGCTTTTAGCTCTCCAGAACAAAGTTACAAATCTTTGAAGTGTAACATGAAAAGTTAACTAAAAATAAGATAACCATGTCACAATTACGTTTGAAACAATAGTTTACTGAATCTTTAACACTTACATTATTAGTATCAAGTTTACACCAAATAACAATTTATCCACAACTCACTTTCAAGGTGTTAATTTCTAAAATTACCAATACTGATGTAAGAATTTGGAGCTCAGAAATCTCTGAAAGCAGTGTTTCTTTAACCAACCTTTTTTTTTTTTAAAAAAAAAATAACAAGTAACTTTTCTGGGGCAAGCATTAAAAACAGATTCT